AAAGAGAGAGAGGGAGAGAGAGAAAGAAAGAGAGAGAACGAAAAAGAGAGAGAGAGAGAGAATATGTGTATTTGTGTGAAAAAGAGTGAGCGTAAGATAGTGTGAAAGAGAGAAAGAGAGAATGAGACAATGCGATATAAAGAGATGAGGAGAGAACGTATGGCGGTGCGACAGCGAGAGCGAGAGAGTGCGAGAGAAAGACAGAGAGAATGAAATAATAAATCGGAGTCTTCGGTACTCCAAATTCTTCCTACTTTCCTTTCCTACTCCAAAGGGTGTCGAGGACATTTTTAGATCAATGGATGTTGTGTCAATGTACGCGCCGCTTTAGACTCGCGTCTCGCGTAGATCGACCGCCATGCGAACCGTCGACACGCCGATCGACGAATATCCGGACGAGAAACGAGGGAGGGTGGTTGCCGTCGCGGGGATGCTTAACGAATCGATAATAATAATCAACGTCATTTTGTCATTGGTTTATTATGCGCTGCTGACTGACTTTGGACGTCGGAAAACTTTGATGTTTCGAAATAAAAGTAACAATCGAACGTTGTACACATGTGATGTCCCTCTGTCTTGTTTTGTTACTCTATCAACATTTATTTCAAATCCCCAAACGATACTAAAAGTTATTGATTATATTTTATTAAATACTTTTAATAGTTGCGGAAGGATGAAAAACTAATCTATTATTTGCGAAGCTTTTCAAATACATAATACTACGTACAGAAAATAAATCAATTGAGACGCAAATCATTTTTGAAGAATTTAAGGAAGACTCAAAACTTTTTTTGGTCGGTAAAAAATTTTTTGTGGCTCTGTGCATATGAGTAGCATCAAACGTTCATTAATGTTTATACTATCTCCGCGTGAAAGCGCGTCAAAATCGGGGGTGCTCTTGGATTTTGTAGGCCGACGAAACACGGCATCGTTTTTTTTTTCCTTTTTCCCCAACAGGATGCTTCAAACGGAAAGTGCTTTCACAAGATGAAAAAAACCAAAATTAATGAATGTTTTGCGATACAGATTGTGCAGAAAAAATTTTCACCAATCGTCGGCAAAATAGGAATCCGCGTTATTGATTCTTGGAAAAATAGGAATCTACATTACCGATTGTCGATAAAAACCTTTTTACGATTCGCGCACCTGAGTAGCGCAGAACGTTCGTTAATTATTGTACTTTATCCCCGTGAGAAAGCATCGAAATCGATGCACGTCTTTGGATTCAAGCCAACGAAACACGACGATCGTTTTCCTCTCTTTTTATCTGATAGGATGCTTCAAAAGGAAAGTTTTAACCAATAAATTGCGACGTTTAGTCCCAGATAGAAAAATGTGTTCATTCTGAGCTCATATTATATTCATGTATCTTCAAGCATGAGGATAAGAATAGACACTGATGCGGGCTCATATGCGCCTCAGAATGTAAACATGTTGTCACAAAAATACCTCATTTAATAATAATAATCAACATCATGTCAAGAATTTGCAACATAATTTGTACATCATTTGTGTGTATCTGGTGCTCATGTTATAAGATCACGTAATGATCTTTAAAAAAGTATCAAATTGGAGTCATAGTATGAAGTCACATTGTGATGAAACATGATCATCACGCATTTCTTTCTGGGTACGTTTTGGCCGACATGGACTGTCCATAACCATTATTCTTGAAATAGTTGCGTATACGTAAGTTTTACTGCGCAGCTATTTTATGATATGATTAATCCTGCACAGTAAAACTTACGTATACGCAACTATTTTAAGAATAGGGGCCCAAGTTCTTAACCACCTTATGCGCTTAGCACGGACACGAATCGTCAGAAAATGGACGTAGAATGGACACGCAACAAATCGACACTTTATCGGCAGCGTCTGAAAATGAGTACAGGAAACGTAGTTCCACCTCAAAAATGAGTGCAGATGGCGCATCGAACTAGCGTGAAAATCGATGTCGATTAAAACGTATAGCGTGGCTGCTCTCAGGTTTCTCTCTGCTCCCGTAAACGAGTTCTCCTCATTGGTCTGTTCACTGCGTTCCGACATTCGACTTTGACAAACGATATATTGTAGAACAGGCCGTAGTAAACATCTTAAGAATGTTGGCTATTGACAATTGAACATTATTGAGGATCGTTTGGTGCATGAAGGAAAGTGTGTGTTGTGGTGGGTATTTTATTTTATAGAAACATCAAGCGCGCGCAATAATGAATTAATTAATTTAAACGATCTTTTCATAAACTTATACAAGTGCTTAACCTATACGTTTTAACGATTGTTATAGTTGCTGGAATGCAATTTGACGATGGATCAAGGCATATGATCATAATTATGTAATATAACAATTGCAACGCACCATATATTTATGACAACTTGTAACAAAAGGATGGAGCTTAGGCATTTTAAAATTATTACAATTTTGAACTCTCCTGTCACATAAGCTTCTTTTCAACAATTTGGTAATTAAAAACTATATACTATTACATACTATTTTTTTCCTATTGTAAAGTATGATAAAATACAAATATCTTTCCAAATAGTATAAAATATCACACCAACATTAAAATCAAGAAGTTTTTAATTATGGCTGTGTTTCAAAATTACTGACAGTCCTGAAAATTTGTAATATACATGACATAAACCATAGCTTTCCAGTGCTGGTAGTAAATATTGGAACGCAGCTTTTGTTGCTGAAGATGATAGTGATGTTACCATAACCTTAAAATATTATTTCTGATGTAATCTGGTAATGATGGAATATGAATAATTTAAATATCTTAAAATGTTATTATAAATCTTAAATCTGAATATTAAGGTTTTCTTGTTTAATTTAATGTTATTTTATGACTAATATTTCAATATCTATCAAAATATAGCTATTATATTATCTTAAGTTAGTGTTTTAGTATTAATGTGTTGTTCTCCAATAAAGAAAATTACTACAACATTATATTTTCCAAGCAAAAAGATTTAATTTACTAATAAGTAATATAGCAATATTTTAGTAATAACGTTGACTTTGGTGCCTTTGGTAGGTTATAATGTGTACCTTTTTGTACAATAGTATAATCAAAATTGATTTTACATAAAGAAAAAGTGCTAGAATGAAATAAAGGTAATTACTTGTTTTTTGTAAATCAAACAATATTCTTATCAATTTAAGTATATTTTGATGATTTATGTAATAAATATTTAATGCTGCAATATTAATTTGTAGTTGAATTTTTGCATGTAAGTAAATTAGTTCTAAATTTCAAAGAAGTATTTAGTAAGATTATGTAATAATTTTTTCCCTTTGAAGAAACTTAATGTTTTAAATCTTGATTTATCTGTCCAGTACATAATGGCGGAATCTGAGAATGCAGGCACACTGGAGTGGACGCGTCCCGATCAGGTGATGCGACTACATCGTATGAAATTAAAAAAACGTGCTTTGCAAGCGCGCATGAACAAAACGCACAGCAACACGACCGATACTCACGACTCTACGGAGAATTCAGATAAATTTAACTTCAGCGTACCACAGCGCTTATCCCAAAAGCGCAAAAACCCATTCGCGATTAATGAAACGTGCAAGAAGCAGAAGGACGAAGTGACGGCTGCATTGGAGATCAGCAATGACAATACATTGTTTGAGTTGTTTCAACTCAATGTCCAACAAGAAAAGCAAACAGCAGAATCGTCCGTGGACGGAACTCTGACATTTGCCAATGTTCTTTCGAAGTTAGAATCCACCACACACACGGCTGACGTGAATGCGCCAAAAGGCGAGAAGTATATTCCTATCGATTGGACATTGAAGACTAAAATGAGGTTTATGTCTCCAAAACCTTTTCCATGGAACGGCAAGCTGAAAACGAGCGAGGAAGCGTCGGGAACCACAGGTTTTGTCAGGTGTCTGAATATCGGAGAACAGGAGACAACGTTGGACACCAGTCTGAACGCGAGGTGAATTTAATTAGTCTTGTGTCGTAAATTACGCGTAAACATCCAAGTTCAACGATTAACTCTTGATGCGTTTCTCTGATTTGACACTCCATGAATATTTGCATCTCAGGTTCCACCAGTGTTGCTTGATATGGCAGCATCCGTCGTTACCGTGGCTGGAACTGTTCCCTCGTTCTGCCGGCAAAGTGAGCGCTAGTCTTGCGAGTAGCACATCGATAGCGAACAACCAATGTATGAAGGATGCGCTACACAGAGAGTGGTGCGACAGTTTCAGATCCTTGTTTCACTTGCTACGTGCGAGACAGTGTCCCTACTTCTATGTGTGTGCGAACACGTTCACGGCGCTTTTCCGCGCCGCCGGCATCTGCGGACTGTCAGAGATTCACGCACTCCTCACACCCACAACACGCGGGTTCCGTCAGGCGTTGAAACAAGAAGGTATGGAGCAGCCCGGCTATGATCTGATTTAATGTACACGCGTGTGTGCTCATACATGATAACAGTGTCGTTACTTTTCAGAAATTGAATATTATATGCCTCTAAGAAAAGATTACAAGAGACGATCCGGAACGACTGATTGCGATAGTAGAACCGCGGATCTGAGTCTGTTGAATGAAGGAACGGCGGATCATCAAGAGGAGGTTGACGATTACGAAGAGCTGGACGAGGCTCAAGACGCGTGGCTCAAAAGTCTGGGTGTGGAGAACTCGGAGATCCGGAAGATCAATCATTCTCAGGTGTACAGCCGCGGGATCGAATCCGTATGAGTATATCGTGTGTTAGCTTGTTTTAACGTCGCGTGTATTTCAGGCGAGGATGACACTGGAGAAGGAGAGTGAGGGAGACAATATGAGACAGTCTCTGGTATTCGTCAAAGGCGTGGAAGCGCAGGCGTTATTTAACTTTCTGATCAACTGCAAGTCTGCTACCGCGACGACTGGCGTGCTAGCCGGTGTCCCTCCTACGCTTCTGGCACCGACGGCCTTTCACGGCGCTTCATTAAAACCGCTCAAGGTATGATATTACTAACAGCAGCTATCTTTCATACTGTTGTATCAGCTGCGACAGCATTAACGTTGATCGTAAATTTTTCTTCTGTTGTGCCAGGTCAGAGAAAGCATTGTGCGTGTTGAGAATGATCGATATCATTCCCTCGAGCTGAGAGGGCCTCTCTTACCGCACGTGCTGCCTTCTCTCTGCCACCTGATGGAATCCAGTCAATTAGAGCAATATTCAGCGAGCTGCGCACAGCTGGTGACGACTACTTCGTTTTCTGCTGCGAAGCACGGCGCCGGTATGTGCGTACAGATTGAAATACGAAACAATGAATTGAATAATGTAAATGTCACAGTTGTATTTCTGTAGACGAAGTAACTGTCGCGGAAGGGGAAGATCACAATGCCGCGAAGATACCGCCTAATATCTTCGGACAAGAAAACCTGAGTGATTGTGGGTTTAACAAAGAATTGTTGAAGCATTTCTGCAATACCGACCCGAGCAGGATAGAGGTTTTGGAAAGCTTCAAGTTTTTCAATGGATTGTACACATGGTCATGATGATGGTTTGAGAATATCAAATTTGGGGAGGAACACGCGTTTGGGTATATGTTTGTATGGTCTAGATATGTTTGAACTTTAATGAAAGGTTATAAATAAGGATGGAATCAAGTACACTCTAAAATCTGATTTTTCAATAGAAATTTAAAATTAGATTTTTAAATTTAAACTGTTGAAAAATACATTAAATACACATTCCCAGGACAAAGCTTAAACTTAAGTCTAAGTCTAAACTACTATTGAAAAATCGACTCTAAATGGTGTCGATATTATTTGCGACATCTTTATATTTTATACTTGATTCCATGTTTGGTTGTGTCGGTTTCTTCACAAACGTATGAAAATAGTCTACGATGATGTGTAAGCGCTATTCGCATCGTTACATCGCTGGCGACTTGTAACTAATAAGGAGATTTAGTCACGCGGAGCTTTAATGAAAACAAGACGTCCGACATGCTACAGTTGTGCTGTTATATACGCGAGGACTGCGATCATGGGATTTGCATTCGCATCTTTATTGACTTGTAATTTAATGTGAGACATATATACCCTCGAGCAGTAATGAGGTCTGTTCTTTTTCAAAGAACTGAACGAGTGCAATAAGTTGAAGTGAAAGAATAGGTCTGTTCTTTTTAACTGAATTACTTGAACCGGTGTACTAAGAGTGAGACAAATATATCTTGTTTCACTCTAATTTATTGCAGTTCAGGCAGTTCAGTTAAAAGGAAAAGAAAGACCTAAGGTGTATACTTGTGTCATTCTGATTTATTACATTAGTTCAGAAGTTTTTGCAAAAAGAACAAACCTATAGACTTTCGTCGGTTTTCTCCTTAGACGGAAGACTTCGTCCGCATGCGTCAAGATTTTTGATTGGCTAAGAGACATCGTACACAAAATGCAAATTTATCCCCCAAAGCGGTAAGCGCATACTCTTTCATAAAGGCATAATGCAGAACGTATAAGAAAACTGACTAATCAGAGTCTTTTAAAAGGTCATAGAAAAGGACTCTGGTTCATTTCCTTGCGTCGTGTATTGTCTTTGTGCAAGAGTTATGCTTCTCACTTGAGATGTCGCTTATGCATGCACACAAGGCTACCACCTGAGGAGAAAATCCACGAAAGCCCTTCACTGCCCTCGAATAACAAGTACGCGAGCTACCGAGCGGGCAAATATTATCGACTCTGGGTAACAGCGCTTTTATCCAAGCGGAATGTAAACGGCAACTGTTGACCCCGATGATAATTCTCTAGATTCACAACGAAATCGATGTCATCTTGTAAATATCGCGACACCTTGATCTCTGTCACTTTACATATCATTATGTCTGTGAGGAAAATAAATTATTATTTTTACTGCGTTTACATTGTCACTTATATGTGCCACAGGACGGCAATCAGCGAATAAGAGAGAGAGAGAGAGAAAAAAGAAAGAAAGACAACAAAACAAAGCATGAAGTTGCGGTTCCGCGAAAGGAGCTTTTAATTCCTAACACTATACAATCGTAATAGCCTTTAGCGTGCAAAAAACATTGTCGCCTTCACAGTCGGCGTAAGAGCTCGTCTGTCGGAGTATAAGTCGCGCATGATAACAACAACTCCGTCAAGGAGATTCGTTCGAGAACCCGGGAACGAGCTAGGTGGGGTCCATACGACGGCGGATGGACTGCCCCTAAAAATAACGAATCGATATTCGCCCGCTGCCCCCAAATCAGTCGCCGGACTCGCCGAACTCGCCGGACTCGCCGGGTCACCGAGACAGAGTCACACTACAAAAAATCAATTCACTCACTGCATACGCCTCACCGTATTCTCGTTGTACGATCTCGTTTTCCGTATTTTTCGCGCGTCTCGGGCATGCAAGGCGCAGGATAACAGTAACCGGATGGTGTGGGCCGTGCGAGATACGCAAGATGCCCTTGTCGCTTTTTGCGCGCATCATACGAATGTTCCGCGTCAGATCGCATCATTCGTTGGTTGACTCCGCGACGGCCACGGCGAGGAAGAGACATTGACAAATGCCGCGGGATGCGCCGTTCTCGCTCAGCGATGCATATCGTGCGATGCACGCGTGCACCGTTGGCCGTCGCGCGGATGCACGCTCGCGACGTAATCGTTTACATGTGAGAAGATTACGTCAGTGGCATGTCGTATTGCGACACCACGCGCGCCGAGGCGGTTTCATGTTCCCAAGGTCTCCGCCGAGGCGGCTCGAGTTTTCGAGCGAGAGCGTACGCGAGCAACGGACTCTCTTTTCCTTCCAGCGCCGCTTTCGCGCACAAGGCGAATCGCGTAGTTTTTCGCCCTCGAGCTGGTCATTTTGGGTATCTTATCGCCTCCGATAGAAACGAGATTTAGTAATATTCTG